AGTCACGTGACCTCGCTGACGCAACAGTATGTTGAGTAGTTTTTACACGTTCGGCTCTCACTGAAATTTCTATTTTATTATTTCTTATGTAACTTTTGTGTTCTTGCAATCTATATTTTAAATTTCCTTTAGTTTGAGCAATATAAACACAACCACATTCACATTCTATCTTGTATATACTTGTTTTATCTGTTAATTATATTCTGTCTTTAGCATTCCATATCATATATTTTATCTTATTTATTGATTTGAAGATAGGGTAAAAATTCTGATACTTTTTAAATACTTTATAAAATTGACTTGTTAAACATGGAAGTAAGGTAAACTTAGAGTTTCTTTTTTGTTTTTTTCATAAACAGATTTTAATGTGGTATTTTTAACTGAATTTGGATTTTTGTTAAACTTCTTAAATGCTTTTTCTGCTATATTTGGTTCAAATCCTCTATCAATAGCTATATACTTAATTAATAACAATTCATTATTTAAATATTCCTGTCTTGAACATATTTTTAAAGCTCTATAAACATATGTATAAAATGCTGATATTTTTGGGGTTTTTATATCACATGATTCTTTGTGTGGCGGCATAACAACAACAAAAGGTTTTCTATAAATTGATGTTTCTAAGTTACCTTCTTCCTTCCTAACTAATACGTCTAAGAAATTAATGCTATTGTTATCTTCAATTTCACACGTGAATTGAATTGCTGGTTCTTCACTATTTAAATAACTAAAAAATGGCCCGGCATAGCCAGGTGGATAAGGCGCTCGACTCACAATCTGAGGGTCGCGGGTTCGAATCCGCATCCCACCAAACATGCTCGCCCTTTCAGCCGTGGGGGCGTTATAATGTGACGGTCAATCCCACTATTCGTTGGTAAAAGAGTAGCCCAAGAGTTTGCTGTGGGTAGTGATGATTAGCTGCCTTCCCTCTAGTCTTACACTGCTAAATTAGGGACGGCTAGCGCAGATAGCCCTCGTGTAGTTTTGCGCGAAATTCCAAAACAAACAAATAACTAAAACATTCTTGTAGTTTGTTGTTGCCATGTCGCCACACCACGAATGTGTCATCTATATATTTTATCCAAACTTCTGGCTTAAAATTAGCGTTATTTAAAGCTTCATTTTCAAAGCTATCCATATAAAGGTCACATAACATTATTATGTGAGCGGCTGATGGAAAGAGTACTGGAAAGCCTACAATGGAGGATAGCCCTTGTGTATCTTGATGATGTCATTGTGTTTGCAGCAACATTTGATGAGGAAGTATCCTGGCTGGAAGAGGTATTCAAGCATTTGAAAGCAGCAAATTGCAAACTCCATCCCAAGAAATGGCACTTGTTCCAGAAAGAGGTGCTTTACTTGGGTTGCATTGTAAGTGAGCATGGTGTGTGAACTGATCCTGACAAGGTGAAAGCAGTGCATGATTGGCCAACACCAGACAACGTGGAAGAGTTAAGAAGTTTTTTGGGACTCTGTACCTATTACCGGAAGTTTGT